GCAGCGGTCAAGGAAAAGCGACCAGAATTGGTCAATCGTAAAGGTGTCATTTTCCAGCAGGACAATGCTAGGCCGCACACGTCTTTGTCCACTCGGCAAAAATTCATGGATATTGGTTGGGAATCGATGTTACACCCATCATATAGCCCTGATCTCGCGCCATCGGATTACCACTTATTTCGATCCCTGGACAACTCCCTTCGTGGTAAAACTTTGAATGACGATGACGCTGTAAAATCTCACTTAACTCAGTTTTTGGCCGAAAAGGATCAGACTTTCTACGAGCGTGGAATTTTCAAGTTGTCGGAACGATGGCAAAAGGTCATCGAACAAAATGGGAAATACATTACAGATTAAGCTTCATTCCAAGTAAAAAGAAATTTTTTATTTCATCGAACAAATCGGCAATTACTTAGTTGCCAACCCAATATATGACAAAGTGCATTTTATGCATATGAAATTGAGTCTTGCGATGACTTGTGATGACAGTTATACTTTTAACAATTTTTAAAATTTAAACTTTATTAATATAAAAATTATCTTGGCACGTGAATTAAGAATTTTAGTGGTGCCTCAGAGCCACCACTCAAGTGCAAAGGGTTAATGTTGAGTTGGCACTCAATATATTTGGTACGAAATGGTCACCCGGTATCGCGTCGTGGGGTGTTCGTAGTTTTTTTGTATTTTTTTCCCCCTCAGAAATCGTTATCGAACGCGAGAATCGACGTTCCCTCTAAACTGGAATTTCGTCAATCGGTTTATGAATAATTCGTGATATTTTATTTGTAGCCCCGCGTCTCGGGTTTAGGCGGCCGAATTTTTTCCGGTCATTTCACCCCGCGATTTCCTATTCACCGGGCCCGGGTGGTATTTATCGAATTTGCGAGTGCGCGCTCATTCTCGCGGTTCGCGGGCATCGGTCCGCCGCCCCATTATCTATTTATCAGTCTATTAAACGCTTTAGACCATGCTTGGATAAACGGGGGCCGGCTCCCCATCAATTTTTAATAATCTCGTATCAGAGTGTCACCAAGCCGTACGTACATTGTGATCGGCTTTATGGCGGCGACTATTTTTCCTCTCGCCGGGCCGGGTCGGGCCGGGCCGCACTTTCGGCCGTTTGTATTCACTTCCCGAAATTGATGGCGCGTTTCCAATTCATCCAATTCGGTCGTTGTTTGATAGCGCCGGCCGAAAAGTGTTTTTACCATCGACGCGTTCCGTGAAATTTGCGTAAAAAAAAAGAAAAAACGCGCGCGGGGTCGTAACATAGTTGCCCTTTTATGCAATGGGGACGTAAATATTTGCTGTTTCCGCTTCGAATTATGGATAGTATACGCGTTTGGTCGAGCATCGCGGCATCGGAAGTAATTAAATTTGGGGTATTAAAAGGCAGGCATCGATTTGAAATGTTTTGCCTCTACTATGTTTGCGCGAGAGATATAACTGATACAACTGAACCTAGTGCAACATTTATGGACAAACATATACTGCATAGAATGTAATTTGTTTATCGATTTGAACCTGGCGCGACTTGCTGCACCGATTTTTAAATTATCAGCCTGCTTGAAACGAAAGGACAATGATAATAATAGTGATGCAATAATTATCGACGAACGTACTACTTGAATTAAAAGTTTCTTTTGTTAAAGTTACCTTTTTAAACAATTTGTTAAAGAAATTGATTAGGTATGCAATACTCCACCAGACTTATTTGGAATAAAAAGGATGTAAAAAAGCTCTCGTCTTTTTTTCACGTTAATATAATTGGATCACCGTGCAATTTCCCAGAAAA